CTGCCTGCCTGCCCCTCCCCTCCCCCTCCCCTTTCTCGTCCTCCTCTTCTGAACTTGACATTCTTAAAATTTGAGTACAGACAGTCGGCATTGTTTCCTTGCTGGGTTGCTGTCTTGGATAATCCATTCAAAGATCACGTCGTTCAGCTTGGTCAAGCTGATATCCTTCCTGATCTGACGGAAACACGGCGGTGCGGCGTGAGGCCATCTTTCCCGATCAGACTGTGCTGGTTTGAGCATGCGCTGCAAGAGCCGTCCCGGACCCTGGTGAATTTTTGCGGGTTGCCCCGGTAGAGCTCCTGGTGACCCATCTTGCTTTCAGGGACACTCCACGACAAAAGGCTACGTCCTGGTTCTTAACACATGCTCTTTTAATGAGAGATGATAAGATGTAGTAACTCTTCTAGCTTGTATTTACCCAAATCTCCACTAGCATCTGTATAACCATGGTCATTTCCTGGGTGCCCAATTTCCCATCTAAAAAACAATGATGAGCTACCTGGGCCCTACTTCAGTGTCCTACTGGTCAATGTTCAATGATTGGCTTGCTGGGTAGAAAAATAAAAATCCTGCCCACATGTTTACTATAAATGTTATTGACATAAATGATGTGCACAATTTATAAATAATAAAATAGAGTAGTCTTTATCATAAATTTCATATAGCTGATTCATCTTGGCAGAATGCTGTCATTGATTTTTTTCTGAGCTCTTGTATTTATAGTCAACCTATGCTTGCAGCTGATGAAAGGCGCAGCTCTGCCAAGAGTGCCGGTTAGTGGGAGGGGCTTTAAAGGCTCAGGGAAACCTGGAACTAGGAGATCGTGGACTTTTCCCAAGAACTCTTTGAAGTCCGCTTGTCTTTTTTGTTTACATGAATGAGTAGGACAAACGTAAGACAATGACGATGTTGGCTGGACTATCACTCATTGGTCAGTATAGCTAGTGCCTAAAGCACCTGTAGGGTCCTCAGGAAGACTTCCGCCTTCCCTGGAAAATTGGAAGCCCCGAATAACAAAACCCTTAAAGAGTCACAGACAACCAGAGTCCACTCCAATAGACAAAACCAATTTGGATTCGTCAGACGTGAACTGTGCTGCACCGAGTTTGCAATGACTGTTCATCGGCGGATTGCTAGGTCTTTCCTCCAAGGTGCTTCTCCGTTGACTTGAACCTCCAACCTTTTGGTTAGCGGTAGAGCACATCGATCGTTGGCTTCATCCAGGGACTTCTTCCAGTAAGCAAGTAAGTTATGATATGATATGATCCCAGATTTTGAGATGTTTTTTCCTGCAAAGACCTTACAATTCCTTTCAGGAGCATGGTTTTCCTTGGTCTGACCTCAGACTTTCCAGCGTCAGAGGTAGTTCTTTCCGTTCGGTGGGTCTTGTGAGGGCCCCGTGTTTCAGTCGGTCTCCATGGCCAGAACAGCCCCGTCCCTTCCATCAGCACCTGCATTGAGACGATCAAGATAAGAGGCCAGCCTAGAAATAGCTAATGGCCAGACAGTGCCCAATGCCTGTGATGCCATCACATCAGATGGTCCTGGTGATAGTGTCTTTTATGTCCAAAGATATGAGAGATGGGCAGGGATCCCACACTGGTTTTATTCCACCTCTTGCTACTACCCCCTAGGACGTGAACTAGAAGGGAGTTTGGAGATGATATATTTCTTTCTTTCCTTCAAATCATTTTACTGGGGGCGCTTACAGCTCTTTTAACAATCCATACATCCACTGGGTCAAGCACATTTGTACATATGTTGCCAACATCCTTTTCAAAAGGTATATTTATAATATCATCATTTTATAGAAAGGAAAACTGAGGACTAATCAGGAGAAGCCAGGTCAAGCCTATACTACTCAGGGAGGCTAAGGCAAACAAAGCAGGAGAGCCAGGATTCTAGACGCCTACACTCAAACCCAGGTTTAGCCTCTTCCCTACGTCATGGTGCCGCAGACTCGTGTTGTGTGCTGTTCAACTCAGGAAAGAGAGCTCCAGGCCACAGGCTCGCTGTGGGCCATAGCAGGCCTTGTTTGCCCATCGAAGCTTCTTGGTCTCGCTCTCTTGGGGACCTTAGAAATCTGAGCAAAGATCGGGTGTCCTGAGCCAGCCTGGGGCTACCTTTTTCCAAATCTAGTCTCCACGTCAGCACCATCTCAGCAGGGACACAGGGAGGGCAAGACTGCTACTGTCTCTGTTCTTGGTGCTTCATTGCATTAGTGATTCAGCAGCGAGTGCCAGGCTCTTTGCCTGGGATGGTGTGTGTGTGTGTGTGTGTGTGTGTGTGTGTGAAGGTGCCCCAGATCC